TCTAGAAGTTTATACAGATGCAGATTATGCAGGATCGATAGACGATAGAAAATCCACTTCTGGCTATTGTACTTTCTTAGGTGGGAACTTAGTGACGTGTTGAAGTAAAAAACAAAATTTAGTTGCAAGATCGAGCTCAGAAGTGGAATTTAGAGCAATGACATTGGGCATCTGCGAATTACTATGGATAAAGATTATTTTAGAAGATTTGAAGATTCGACGGGAAATGCCTATGAAACTTTACTGTGATAATAATCTATCATTAGTATTGCACATAATCCAGTTCAACATGATAGAACCAAACATGTTGAGGTTGATAGACACTTCATATAAGAAAAGTTAGACAGCGGTCTCATATATACTCCATTTGTACCAACAAATAATCAAATAGCAGCTATCCTTACTAAAGGATTTAACAACAACTTTGAGCATTTGTTAACAAGCTGAGAATGGAAAATATTTATTCACCAACTCGAGGGGGAGTGTTAAATTATATTATTATCTTTTAATTTCCTATTGTATTTAGGTTTTAATAGGTTAGGTTTCCTTGTTCTAATAGGTAAGAGTTTTCTTATCCTAATAGACAAGGTCCTCTTTTCTTTTCTTCTTTGTAGCTCCTATTTATAGTCTTGTATCAATTCTCTGGGAGTAAGTAAGAATTATTTTTTTTTTATTAATTAACAAAGTTAATTACCAAATTTCATTAATGTAATATAGCTAATCAGTTCATTTGGCAATTATGGATAGCACTAAATTAGCTTGTGTGATTTCTTTCTTGTTTGTTGTTCCTCAGGAGAGATATAGCTCCGCATCTGAAATCTTTGATGGGGCCATGGTGGTTTTCTCAGTTTGATTCAGTTTCTGAAGTCTCTCAAAGTGCAATGCAATCATTGCAGGTTTGTTATCAAATATCAACCTACCTCAACAATTAGCGTTTTATTTTATAGTACTTGTGTTAAATTATGATTTTATCTTTTAATTTCCTATTGAATTTAGGTGTTAATAGGTTAGGTTTCCCTATTCTAATAGGTAAGTGTTTTCTTATCCTAATAGGAAAAGGTTTCTTTTCTTTTCTTCTTTAAATAGGATTCTTTAAAAGTAAAAATTATTTTCTTTTCTTATCAATTAACAACTTGCGTTGCTCATGAGGCCTGTGTGGATAGAGTAAGATTCTTAGCCTGATATTACCCACACTTAAACCTCTAAATGGTGTTAGGTTCACAAATTTCTAATTGGGTCACTCCGATCAATCAAATGCATAGTGTGTGTGCAAGCAACAAGCAGTTTCAGACATTTGGGGTTCCAGCTTCTTTAGAGAGAGCTCTTTTATATACAGTATAATAAAAGATGATTTAGATGTTTCTTGTTGGTGTGTTTATTATAAATTGGCCCAAACTCCTCAAATTACCTATCACTGTGTTGCTGGACAAAATAGAAAATACTATGGCCGTGAAAAGTGTAGGGCTCCCTATTTGACAAGCATTTTATTTTTTAAACATTAGGAAGCATTGCTGAAAGAAGTTCCTAACTTTTTGCTATCCTTAAATCTCCTATGCTTTAAATCAATCGTGAACGACAGGCAGCATTTCCTGCTCAGGAAAAGAGAGTAGATGCTTTAATTTTATGTACAACTGAGATATTTATGTACCTGGAGGAAAACTTGAAGCTCACACCAGGTACATTGTCGGATAAAGCAGTTGCCAAGGATGAATTGGAAGAGATGCACCAGCAGGTATGCTTTTAACATCTCCTTCCATTAGATTCGATTCTTTTGGTCTATTACAAGGGTTGTCGATATATCAATGAATCATGTCCTTTTAGTCCATGTGGCGCAAGTATGCATATGAATTTCTGCCTGCATTATGGTAGTGCCTAATAATAGTGCTAGTGCAAAAAAAAAAAAAATAATAGTGCTAGTGCATTCATGGGACTTTGCTACCTCAAAGTCAAAGCTTCTTGCTCAGAATTATTCTTGAACAGGAATGGCTTTTAATATTTCCATTGCATATTAGATACTCCATCCTTTGGTTTTTAGTTCCTCCTCAGTTCTATATCAATTTCCCAGTTCCACAATTGGAAAAGCTGCTATTTTATGCTTTGTGATGTTTATATTTGTTTTGAGTTGTGCTGACATGTTGTTTTATGCTCTTTCTTGTCTTCAAATGCAGGTTATATCTTCATCATTGCTTGCATTGGCCACATTAATTGATGTGTTGGTAGCTCGGTCTGAAAGATCAGAGACTGGGAAAGGCAGTGGTGAAACAAAGCATGCTTCCAAGTCTAGGGAGACCGCTATTTCATTTGCTGAAAAATTGTTCACTGAGCATAAATACTTTATAGACCTGTTGAATTCCAAAAGTCCTATTATCCGATCTGCTACTTATTCAGTCTTAAGGAGCCTTGTCAAAAATATCCCTCATGCTTTTAAGGAACAAAACATGAAAACTATTGCCGGTTCTATTCTAGGTGCTTTTCAGGAGAAAGATCCTTCTTGCCATTCATCAATGTGGGATACAGTGTTACTTTTTTCTAAAAGACTGCCCAACTGTTGGAATTATGTGAATGTTCAGAAAACTGTACTGAATAGGTTTTGGAATTTTCTTAGAAATGGGTGCTTTGGATCCCAGCAGATTTCTTACCCAGCTTTGATTTTATTTTTGGACACTGTCCCACCTAGTGCCGTAGCAGGGGAGAAATTTCTTCTCGAATTTTTTCAGAACTTATGGGTTGGAAGGAACCCATTCCATTCCTCAAATGCAGAAAGGCTAGCATTTTTCCAGGCTTTTAAAGAATGTTTTCTTTGGGGGCTACGTAATGCATCAAGGTGGTAATTTCTTGACCTTATTTTTTCCATCTTTTTGTTACTTTATCATGGGAGATCATTTTTTTCCTTTCTTATGAGATCGTTTACAGCCACTTTATTCAGAAGTGGATGTATCTGAATTCCAGCGTTCAGTTCTTAATTTGTTCTTGTTCTTTGCTCCCAGGTTCTGCAATGGAGACAATTCGCCTCAATTTCAAGTCACCCTCGTTGATGTCATTCTTGTTAAGCTTTTATGGGAGGATTACTTACATGTTCAATGTCTAAAGAATCAAGATATGGCCTTGTCTGAAGATGCATCCTTGAATAACAAGAGGACAGCAGAAATATCAAGTACAAAGTATCCAATGAGCTACTTACAAGATTTGAGAAAATGCATTGTTGAAGTTCTATCTGGCATCCATTTAGTGAAACAGGATCTACTTTCGGTCTTTGCTATGGAATTTCAAAAGAGTTGTATTAGTATGTTCCAGTTGACAGAGAATATGGAAGTAGCCTCAAAAACAATAGAACAGATAATAGGATTTATACTAGAATTGGAGCAACTTTCTATGGACAAGGATGATACCTGGCCCTTGGTTCTCTTGGTTGGACCAACGCTGGCTAATACTTTCCCAATCATAAAATCACTTGTAAGTTAAATATCTCCTACTTCTTGGAGACGTGCTTCAAAGTATTTGTTCCCTGCATTCACACCTGTCTGTTATTTTTGGATGTGGTGGTTAAATTACTACAGATCCCAAAGGTTTATACGTTTAGATAGTTTGTATAGTTACATTGCATCACATTATAGCACTGCCCTTTTGATTATAAGTCAACCTTATTCTAAAAGAAAAGGCCTATCACATGAATTTTCATTCTAAAATACAGAAATAACGTGCTCAAGTTTTCATGATTTGATTTTATATCAAACTCTTGTTCCAGAAATTCCTGAAGACATTTTATTTGGACTTATTTACCTAATTATCAGTTATTTTACTTATCCATAGCTGTAATGTGGATAACCTGCGTGCCTCACAGTTTCTGTGACTGCTTTTTGGGTCCCACATTCAATCGCACTCGAAACATATTACGGTATTTTCTCAGAATTGAAGTTCTACTAACTCGAGCTATATTATTTTTGTTTTATGGACACCAGGACTCTTCAGATGGTGTGAGACTTCTATCTGCTGCTGTTTCTGTTTTTGGACCTCGCAAGATTATTCATGAACTATTTATACATAATAATGGGATGTCCTCTACTCATTTTTCTGGTGTTGAGGGCCAAGATCTGGAAGCAAGGCAATTCATGCAATTATTTAATGAAATTTTTGTTCCTTGGTGTTTGCAAGGAAATAATAGCTCTGCTAGTGCTCGATTAGATCTGTTGCTTGCACTAATTGATGATGAACATTTGTCCGAGCAATGGCATTCGGTTATCAGTTACTCAACTAATCTAGACCATCCTGGAAATGTGCTCGAGTCCATGAACTCAGAAAGTTTAGCCATGTTGGCAAAGCTTTTAGACAGAGCAAGAGGAAAAATTACACACAATGATTCAAGAAAGGTCACCAATACCTGGCAGAAGGCTAACCTTGGGAACTGGCATCATGAGCACTTGGACTCTGCTGCTGTTGCCATAGCCCAATCCCATGCTCCCTTGAAAAGTTCATTTACAGATTTTTTATGGTATTTGAACTACAGATCTCGTCATTTTGGTTATATTTAATATTTAATTTTTTATAAAAAATTGAAACCTTCTTGACAGATTCAGAAACACACACATGGTACAATATACATATGTTGAACCATTTCATTATCATTGGTTTTCTTGATTTAATCTTTTATTTCACTTGGAGTGGCCCATGCAAAATAGCATCTTCATTTGACTTGTTTTTATAAACTGTACTTTATTTTTAAATGTAAGAAACGGTATATTTTACTTGCAAATGTTTACTCTTCCCTCTTCTTTTATAGGAGGTTGCTTGGTTTTGTGGAAATGAAATGACTCTCCAAAAATGAGTCTTCGCCTTATTAAAGTCCTATTTTAAAATCCAGACCACAATTTTGATATGTTATGTTTTAACCTTAACCATCTGTCTAATGTGCAGTGCTGTTTTGGGTGGTTCTGTACAGAGTGACTGCTCTTCTTTTGTGTCAAGAAATGGATTGACCGCTATACTTGAGGCAGTATTTCAGAAATTAGCTAGTTTCTTATCGCAGTCTCCTTTAATTTGGGCAAGAAATTCTAGTTCTTTATTGATAGCTAGGCCAGGAAATTCTTTCCTCAATTCCACAAGTTATTCAGATGCTGTTGCGATGGCACATTTTGCTTTAGAAGTACTTGACCGCTGCACCTTTTGCTTACACAACCTAGGTGAAGAAAATTTTCTACTTCCTAGTATTTTAGCTGCCTTATATGCTATTGACTGGGATTGTAGTATAGAAGGAAGACAAGATGATATGCTTGATGAAAAATTTATGGAAGAAAGAAGTGCAAGGTTGCTTTTCGGTAAATGTGTGCATGCCCTACGTCAAAAGATAACAGACCAATTTTGGAAGAGCTGTGGTACACACAACAGAAAAAAGTATGGAAGTATCTTGATTCAATTTATTAGGTCTGCCATCTTCAATGAAGATACTGAAGAAGTCGTGTCTTTGAGCTGCCAGTGGATGCTTGAAATTCTGGATCAAATTTCTCAGGATCATTCAGAGGAGCAATATATGTTAGACCAGCTTTTGATCAAGAGTGATACGTGGCCTGTCTGGATTGCTCCCAACTTCATGGCCCCGAATGAATTGGCTGCTTCAACTATGAAAAACATTGGCTTGGATATTCACGTGAGTGGGCTTTGTATAATTTGTACTATTTATTTCTTGATGACTGTTTAAAACTATTGTGGATGCTTACAAACTGAAGTTCATGGTTTGACGCTTAAAAAAATCAAGGTTGATTTGATTTATTTCATTTCATTTACGTTTGTAAAATTTATTTCTATCTTTTCTGATAACAATTTAAAACTATATGCACGTATTTTGCACATATATCTTCTTGTTTTGGATCTCCTGGTGTGTTATTGGGTTGGTTACCCATATTAGGGGCGGGGCATCTTATCATCCATTGTTTTCATAGTGCTTGGTAGATGCACTGCGTGTTAATAAAATATCAATCAATGCTCACTCTTACTATCAGACCAAATAAGAAATGGAAAATTTATAATAAAGTACGTTTCTTGTTTTATGATTTACTGAGAAATTCAAACAAGGCTTTCAAACTTGACCTCTACTTAATCCTGGCCCTCCTAGAAGTGTCTGATAGTCATACACTGCCTAGACAACAACCTGTCAAGTATTTTGATACATTCTGCTTCCCCTGCATTTAAGAAATTATTGTGATTGATAATCGGTTCTCTGGTCTCTTATCAACATTGTATTTTGGTTGTAAAAGTTGTAATGAGGTGATGAGAACATTGTATTTTTGGTTGTAAAAGTTGTAATGAGGTGATGAGGATCGAATGTTAAATATATCAACGTTCCATGTGCAGAAATCTGGAGATCACAAGCTTATTTCTTTGGTAAACATGCTTATGTCAAAGATTGGATTTGAGAAACTTTTTTCTGGTGAAGTTGAAAATTCTTCTCCTTGCCTTGATAAGTCAACAAATAATGAGGTCATTTCACGAGCTTGGCTGGTTGCTGAAATATTATGCACATGGAAGTGGCCAGGGGGTAGTGCTAGAGGCTCTTTCCTTCCTTTACTTTGTGCTTATGTCAAGAGGAGTTGTTCACATGAAAGCTTGCTGAATTCCACCTTCAACATGTTATTGGATGGGGCTCTTCTCTATGGTAGCAGGGCTGCACGAAGCATCATCAATATTTGGCCTTATCCAGTTTCCATATTAGAGGATATTCAAGAACCATTCTTGAGAGCCCTTGCATCTCTTCTTTTCATTTTGTTAGAAGAGAACATATGGGGGAGAGACAAAGCTAGTTCACTGTTTGAGTTGCTTGTTAGTAGACTTTTCATTGGTGAAGTAGTTAATATTGACTGTTTAAGAATTCTTCCACTGATTGTGAGTTTTCTTGTTCGTCCAATGTGTGAAAGAAACTTCACACTTGATTTTGGTTCATGCTCTGGAGATGGCTCTTCGAAGGAAAATCTTATTCAAAATACAGCTGAGGGGTGGCTTCAGAGAGTCCTTTCGTTCCCATCATTAAATGAATGGCAGGCTGGGCAAGGTATGTATTGAAGTAGTTGACGTTAACTGACGGACCATGGATGGAAATCATTTTTTAATATTTCGATCATATTTATTTTAAACATTTGTTCCTTTTTGTTGATTTTTTCTCCTAATGGATGGTTGTAAAAGTCGTGGTTTACTGCAATTGCAAATATATTTATTAAAATCTATAAAAGATGATTATTATTTTTATTTTTATGACAATGTAATTTGGTAACGGTAAAACACGTCTCCCACTTCATTTTTTACTCATCTCTTTTTTGACTTTGCATTTGAAGTAGCATTCAAGAGGATGCTGTGTCATGTTATTTCTAAATCACGAGTGCTGCATCTGTGACCAACTAGAAAGTCTATTTTGTAAACAGAGGGAATTGTGACATCCATCTATGTTAAATGACATGTGAACTAGGAGATGGGAAAGCGAGAAGATGTGTTTGTTTTTTTTCCAATTATAGATTCTGATCATGGAAGATGCATAGATAATTGCATTATACTACACGTGTCTATGGTTGTATTTACCTTTTTTTTCTCGTAGCCAAATCCATAACTAGTGTAGGATCATTTACTCAATTGTACCTTGAAACTATTTTGTTGACCCTTTCTCAGAACTAGTAGGAATTATAAATATTGGGAGGCTTTCTGTTAGGAATTCATTGGAAAAGAGAGAGAATCCTTTTTCGACAATATGAATATTCTAGTTTATTCAATGACCTATGGGACTAGACATGGTATTTTCTGTATAATGCCAAGTCCAGTTAGCACAAATTATTAGCTGTCTTTTATACCTTGTTCTGTCTTTGGGGGCATTTCAGAGGAGGTTGAAGACTTAGCAAATACCTTCAGATGTAAGGCCAAATGGATTGGGTTACCTTTGGCCCAGTAATAGTGAAGCTAGAGGTATGGAATCCGTTCCTCCATGGCTGCGCTCGTACATTCCCTTCTTATGGAAACTGGGTGAAAGTAAGAAATATTCCTTTACATTTATGGAGGTTAGCTACCTTTCCAGCCATAGATAATGCTCTTGGGGGTTTCATTGACTATGATGATATTAGTTCTTGCCTTCTGGACTGTTTCGATGTTGCGATAAAAGTAAAAGGAATTATTGTGGCTTTATTCCGGCAGAAGTGAGTATAGTAGACGAGCATAATTGCTTTCAAGCGCATGTGGTTTCTTTTGAAGATAACAGATGGCTGGCTGGAAAAGATGTCGGAGTTCACGATGGCTTCTCACCGGAGGCGGCCAAAAATTTTTATCAGGGGCAAAATTGTCAAGGTTTCAACAATGTTGACTGTTGGAGAATAGAGGATGGCTACAATTACCCAATGGTCACAATTTCATACCCTCCTTCTCCAAGGCACCAACTAAAAATGGGTATTATGGAAGAGACTTTCCTCCCACAGGCTGAGGCCATCACGGATTTGCAAAAAGGGGATAGGGGAGGTAGTGGGCCCCACAAATGTGACCGAGACGGAAGCTCATTTTGTCACCTCGTTTACTTGTAGTAAAAACCTGGAGAACACCAAATCAACTTTTTTACCCTCACAGAGTAAGTTGAAAAGTACTAAAGGCAAGGAAAGGGCCATGTCCTTTTCTAAAACCAATCAAACATGTCTTTTCCAGAAAAAAGAAAGGATTTGCTCTACGGAGGGTGACATAGCCCATGAAAAGACAGAGGAGAAGAAGAGCTGGGGCAATGACTTGACATCTGATTCTTCTGTCCTTAGCATAAGCAGTGAGGAAGTGGAGGTAGTAGAAGCTACTCCTGTGGCAAAACAGCAAGGGGAGATCCCAGAAGGGTACTACGGTTGTTTTTGGAAGAAATGCAACAGGGCAGAGGAGCCTCTTCCTTGGAACAAATTGGGAATACGGTAGAGGAAGGAAAAGAAGGGACACATAATGAAGTGTCCAAAGGAAGTAGAAAACAACAACATGATAGTGAGTCAAGGGCAGAACTCCCTTGAAGATGTAGAAGAGGAAGAGTCTGACAATGAGGAAGGAGAGTCAGATTTCTTCCCCTTCCTAAAAAGCTAGTTAGATCGCTTTGGAAGTGTAAAATGTGCATCCAGCCTATCTCAACTAAGGGGAGTGCATCAGCAAAGAAGAAATCCAGAGAGCTTACTAATCTCTTAAGGTCATTGGAAAAAGAAGTCGAAAAAGAGGCTGAGTTAGAAACGGGACATTTGACATCTCAATTAAGGTCATCTCTTGGAATGTGAGAGGCCTTGGGGCTGCCTCC